CATGCCCTAAAATGTCTGTTCTTAATCAGCACAGTAGTGTTTCTTTGAATCCATTGTCAATCTACCTAATAAGGTAAAATAAATTACTGAATGCTATTTGCAAATACATCAGTCATTACCAACTGCCCTAGGCTTTTCTACATGATTGAATAATTATCCTTTAATCAGAGTAGTAATGAATAACTGCCTCTTATAAGTTCGGGGTATTTAGATACAACTTTATTTCATTAGGTTTATCTCTAGATCAGAACAACCAGCTGTCTCTTATTGAACATAAGGTATGTTTCTATTTTAAAATTGGAAGTTAACAGTGAATGTTCTATGAAAAATTGTGGGCCTTAATTGTCAGATCTCTGCAGTAAGTCCAAATTGTAGAATCAGTTAATGGAAAATTCTTTTCCTGCCCTTGAACCAAATCCATCAGATTTCATCATTAATAAAAAAAAATACTATAGTTAAAAACTTGTTTGCTTTTTTGGGTGCATGCCAGGTCTGAAAAGGCAAAATCAAACTTAAAACTACCTTGAGGAAAGGTCTGAGGTCACAGAATTCCTTCAAATATCCAGACATATGGGGTTGCTATGCATTTGGCGGAGAGAAAATACAGTTACAAAAAGAAGGCCTTTATCTTTCAATTCAACAGAAAATTTGATGAAACCTGAAAATGATGTCAGACTATATTTGTTGGAATTAGCCACCAGTGGAAGGCTGAAAAAAATTGCAGCCTTCTGACAGCGAGCATGAGGATGCCACATGTGAATAGGCCACTTTCAAGGTCCCCTGCTCAGACTGTCTACCTGTCTGCTGCATTTGGCGTTTTAGCATGAAAAAGTAGCTGCTCTGAACACGGAGCCTTCCGTAGCTGAGGGAATGCACCGTGTGCGCCTTTGCAGTCGTGATCCACTCTGTGATCACGTGCGCAGAGGAGCAAAATCTATCTTGGACTGAAGCTCCTCTCTGTAGCTCATCCCACGCAGCTTAGGGTACGAATGGCTTACACGCTGGGTAACCGTGATCTAGGCATGAAAGACACGCTCCGGTCCTTCCTGCTGCTTGATATCGGATGCTGCGATGATGAGCTCTCCTGGGGTTGTACTTCTCAGCAGCCCCTCCCCCAGGTCTTCATGTTCTCACCATGCAGAGAAACATTTCGCTGCATGCGCTGAGCATGACAGATATCCCTGTGCCTTAAGGATCTCTCGTTAAGATTTCTCACATTACTGAGTCTCTAAACTAAGGCCAGATCCTTAATGAAATGCAAGTATAGACTCAAAGAGCATCAGAGCAGCTTCAGAGCATGGGATTTAGACTGAGCGGGTGGGGAGACACGGAGAGCACAAAACTTAACTGTCCTGGAAAAGACGGCCTTCCTGAGTGTTGCTGCCTGGGTGTTTCCTTGGCCTGAGCCGAGGCCTGGCCCATCACAGGTACAGATTCTCAGTGAGGCTGAGACTGGGACCAAAATCTAAACAGGAAGCCCTGGAGGGACTAGAACCAGTATTCAAAGCAGGATGTGTGTACACAGGAGGAAGAATCCAAAAGAAGGAAAATAAGAAATAAGCTGAAATACAGGGACACCAGAGGCAAATGACAACATGTGATTGAAAATTGTGAATACTTAAATTAAGAAAAATTATAGTAAAAGGAACATTGCCACTATTTCCTCTCATTTTGAACATACGTATTCCATCATTCTTGTCATTTCCTGAAGAAGTTCTGGAAGTTCTTTTTTGAGTGTCTTTAGTTCTGCTACTAACTAGACATGCTAAATAATCCAAAACTACGGCCAACCAAATAGCTTAGTGGCTTAAAATGCCTTCAAGCAGGCACAGGGACTGGGGGTTCAATCCTTGCGCCTGCCATGCCAGCCCCACCCCTAGGGAGCACTGAGAAGTCAACTGAGACTGGGCGTGGTGGCATGTGCCTGTAATCCCAGTGCTTGGGAGGCTGTAGACAGGCGGATCACTACATGTCTGATCTAGTAGTGAGACCCTGAACACCCTGTAGACTCTTCCCTAAAATACAAGAAAAATAAAAAATAAAAATAAATAACCCAAAACCTTTATCCTTCATGGTCATTTTGACATTAAGAAGGACCCCGAAATTGCATGGTGCAATATCCAGTGATCAAGGTGAAAAAGGACACGCCATAATATTTTTATGAGTCTCTGTTTCCATGGGACGGCACTTAGCAGCAATATACACCATAGTTTTGATTACCTCTTATGAAGACACTTAGGAAAAAAGCCTTCCAGCAAAAGGTGGCAACAACATTGGAAAATGGTGTCGGTGTGCTTAATGTGAGAGAAAGTACACTGAAAAGGTCCACAGCAGCATGCCTTTCACTGTACTATTTAAGCACACACTAGGTTTCTGCAGCAGCCTTCACATTACTCGCATGCTACTTGTTTCTTGATTCCATAGCTAAGGACATACA